TTTTTTATGCTTTTTAAGATCAAAAAGGGGGCGGGGGTCGTATTATACATGAGATCATATTATACATGAATAAATACGGTAATCCTTTTTCTTAAAGAAACTCAGGCGTTTAAGAATCACTTTATTTCCAACACAAATATAACTTCTGTCATAATTAAACACACAAACATGAATGAATCAGTCTCCTGCTCTCTGATCAGCTTTTTAAATTTTTAACAGGCTGTGCTGATTACTGAAAAAATACTGTCAGAACAAACTTTCTGTTTTCTGTATTTACAACATTACAGAGTATGAGCTGTACAATAAGAACATTTGCTGTGATATTCACCAAAAACTAAAATTAATTCTGCAGATATGGAATCAGTCCATGCAGGAAAATGAGGAGGTAATAATGAGAGGTAGTCTTTTTATTTTCACAGATTTTAGCATGGACTAAAAATAAAAATGTGTTTTTTTTATGACATCACAAAGTCAGGTTTATTTACAGAATAATTTCACAAAATACCAGAAGAGAGGATTAACTAAATGCTGTAACCGAGGTGCTGGAGGCTGTTTTCTCAGACAAGGTGCTTTGATGAGTTTTTAATTTAATATTTATTTTTCACTGGACTGGGTGGAGTTTGGTTTCGTTGTTCTCCGTACCATCCTGGACGACGACACGTCAAAACATGTTCTGTTTTATTCACCGTCACGATGATCACAGTTTCACAACAGTCAGTGGTTTCCAACCTAAATGATATTTTTTTTACTTTTCAACCAGTGATCACAATGTGGCACCAAACAGGTTTGATGGGAGCGTTTTCTTTTAATACGTTGTTTCTTTGATGATGTTGGTGGACAGGGTGTGGTTGCTGGAGATGCTGATGGAGTGGCGGGTCAGCGGGTGCGGCTGCCCCCTGAGCGAGCGGCGGCACGGCACGAAGATGTAGCGCAGCGTGGAGAAGAAGACCTGGCGGTACGTGGCCGACACCAGGTTGTAGAGGACTGGATTGATGGCAGAGCTCACGTAGAACAGGACGTTCGTCAGCATGTAGAAGTAGTGGTAGAAGTCGTATAAGTCACTGCCAGAAACAAAAACGGATAAAATGTCACTGAAAAGGTTCTGGTCAAATGTTCAATTTTCAAACAGGATCTATTTGTTGGTGGTTGTTTTGTTATCAGGTAAAACTGGAAACCTGCAGGCTGTTCGTTAGGTTCTTTTTCCACTTTTACTCACAGACTGGAGTATTTGAACAGCGGACAACTGATGGTGGAAGAGTAGCAGCTTTTCTCTGTCCACCCTGAAGGTTAGCTTTAAAAAATGACACAAAACCAGAGCTTTGACTGAGAGAARGATGTGGAAATGWCTCAGCCTGTAACTGAGAATATGGATAARGGACAACAGAGCTGCTTCATGGAAGAAGAACCTCAGCTTAGCCTGTTAGCTTCTGGAGTTACATCTGACTTCTTTCATCAGAGGTGTCACAGCTGTTTTAAAGGGGCAACATCATGTAAAATCAGCTTTTTTTGAGTTTTATATCATGTTATAATGTTATACTCTCATAAAAAAACATGCCCAAAGCCTTGCTCTGACTCATTCAT